ATAAAGTGAGAGGTCAAGGGTTAGCTAAAATCATAACCAAGGGGTAGACGGACTCAGTGGGGGTCACAGAAGAGGGGTTGGAGGTCTGAGGGCCACACCCGAAGCATGAGGAGGTAGTTCATGGAGGTCAGAGGCCAGAGGTCAGAATTCAGGGTCATAATCTGGTTAACAGGAGGGCTCTGCGAGGTGGGAAACTGAGGTTGAGGGGTCAGAAATCGGATGGAACCAAATCCAGCTGGGCTATAGTTCAGTGAAGTCAGTGTGTGCCCGGGGACAGGGGTCAGAGGTCCCATCATCAGCTGCGTGGCAGTAAGAGACCCCGCGGGGAGGGAGGTCAGGCCGGGAGCCGCAGGAGCGTCACTGGGGAGGTGGAACTCAGTGAGGTTAAGAGTTCAGGGTCAGGATCGGGGGTGAAGGCCGGGCAGGGGCCATACCGAGCTGAGGTGAGGAGGGCTCGGTGGCGGCAGAGCTCTCGCTCAGGGCCGAGTTGCTCTGCTCCAGCGGCCGCTTGCGAATGGAGCTGTTGGGGACACCAGTGCTGGGCTGGTGTCGCTTCTTGTTCTTCACCAGGATGCGGCCCATCAGGTCCTGGGGGCTGGGCAGGGGGACGCCTGGGGCCAGCTGGCGGGCACAGACAGGTCAGGGCCTGCAGGGGCGCCCTCACCCCCCACGCCCTGCCCCAGGGCCAAGCCCTCATACCGGGTACTTGTCCAGTGGGTCGATGAGCAGCGCGTCCCCGAAGATCGAACGACAGTACTCGGCCATCTTGGCCTGCTGCTTTGCCCTGTGGGGCCAAGGTCAAAGGTCAGAAGTTCCTGGACAGGGTGGGGTGAAGCTGACTTCAGTCCCCAGGGGAGACCAAAGGCCCTCGGGGTCAGAGGGTCACAGGAACAAAGAGTGCCCTGGTGGGATGGCTGTCTTGGGCCGATCGGGGGGATCCCTGGGTCAGGGGCCCACTCACGAGTCCACGTGGTTCTCGAAGGAGAGGATGACAGGGTAGGGCGAGGTCTTGAAGGCGGTTTCCGCAATGGCCTCCAGCACGTCTCGCAGCGGCACCTCGGTGGTCATGGTGAAGCCGTGGGTGATAAAGGGCTCCTCCTCCGGGGGCCGCCCTTTCCACACGTCCAGCTCCACGCAGCGGCAGCCCCAGAGCAGTGCCTGCCGGTACATCTCCACCGACGACGTCCCAGCCAGCTGCCCCGCTGGCGGCCAGGCTCCATCACCACAGCCGCCCGGCCAGCCGGGGTCCTCACCCTCCTCCCCAGGCCCGCCACGGCCCCTTAACCAGCCATGCTGGAGACGCAGAGGCCCCCGCGGCGGCCCGGCCCGGCCCGGCCCTGGCACGCTGTCTGGCCAGCCCTCCATCACTCCTTAATTCACTGTGGAACCAGCATCATCTCTCCTAAAATCCCCCAGGGCGGGGCCCACGTCCTGCCACCCAGCCCCTGGCATCCATCCAAACCGGGCAGAGTCAGCATCGAGCAGGGCTGGCTGATGGCTGGTTCCTTCGCCGGGGCTCATCCTCTCTCAGATAAACATCCCCCTCCTATCTACTGGCCTCAAGTGGAGAGTTGTCCCCAACACCCCACGGCCCTTCGTTTCCCTTTCCTCCTTTCACTGCCTGCCGCCGCCCTGGAATAGCCTCCATCACCTCCTGCCCGGGGAGGCCCCTCGCTGCCTCCCATGCAATCTCTGCAGAGCACCTGCTCCCTTTATTGGGCCTCATCGCCTCCCCTGAATAACACCCTCCAAAAAGCCCTTCCCCGCCACTTAGGATAAATCCAAATGCCTCCGGTGCCCTGGTCTAGCCCTGCCTCCTTCTCTCACTCCCTCTCACCTCTACCTGCCCCAGCAGCCATCCCGCCTCCGGCCTCCTTCCTTCCGAAGCCCACCACACGGTGACCTGCGCCCAGCCTCAGTGTCCCTTCGCAGGCCAGCCCTTCCCCAGCAAAGGCTTCTGGGCCATCTGGGAAATGTGCCCACGCAGGGAAGCCCCGCTCCCCTGGGGTAGGCTGCCCGTTCCCTGCCTGCATCCCTAGGACGGGTCACCTCCAAATGAGGGAGGTGACGTGAGGGGCAGAGGTCATGGATGCCACTGCTCCAGCTGCCCGAGGGTGGCTCACTCACCTGTGAGATAGGTGTTGTGTGAGGAGTTGATGAAGTAGGCGCTTAGCGGCTGGGTCATGTCTGCGCTCAGATCCAGGGCCTCCAAGGGCAGGATTCCATTCTCCTCACCCCCCAGGTAGCGGCTGAAGCCCTCCATGGACATCTGGTCTGGGGGATGGGTGGGCTCAGCCGGGTCAGTTGGGGCGCCTCCTGCTGCCAGCCCCCAACTCCGACTGGCTCCCCTCCAGCTCACCTCGTTCCAGGAACTGCTGGTTGGGCTCATACTTCTCAATGAGCAGCCGGGCCTGGGAGGGCCGCAGGGGTGGATACAGCACTTCGTTGAGCCTCGGGTCCCGTTGCTTCTGGTTGATGAAGTCCATGAGCTGCTCCAGCGTCAGGTATGGCTTGCCCTTGGCGCCTCTAAAGGGCGTAGGAAGCTGAGTCAGGTTAGAGCCTCCACAGCCCCTGCTCCAGGCCCTCGCCCCGGGGAGAAGAGGAAAGTTCTGGGCCTGGCTCTAGCACCTGCTGATTGGGACTTGGGCAAACGGCTGTGCCCCCTGGGCCTCAGTTTTCCCATCCACCCTCCTCACCACCAGGTGCCGGCATTGACATTAGCAAGGGCTTTGGAGGCCACAGAGTGTTTGGCCCGCTATGCCTGCTTCCCAACTTCAGCCCCAGTCTTCACTCGCTGTGTGAGCTCAGGCAAAGTCCCACAGCACATCGAAGCCCCTCGGTCCCCAGCCCCGGGCACAGGCTGGTGAAAGTAACCCCAGCCAAGGATCAGCACAGAGCAGTTCACGGCACAGCCTCGGCCCCAGCCCTGGCGCACGGGGACCCCCGGCCGTGCCACTTCCCCTGGCTGTGCCGGAAAGAAGGAATGCCGGCAGAGGCCAGACACAGCGCTCTGGGGGCTGGGAGGTGGGCCCAGCCCTGCTCACATCTCCAGCAGGATCTTGTCAATGTCTGGCCGCAGACACAGCTTATTCAGGAACCGCTCGAAGATTTCCAAGGAGAACTCGTCGGGCCGGATGGACTCACTCTGGGGACCAGAAGCGTGGGGTGAGAACTCGAGAGGCAGCGAGCCCCAAGAGACCAGACACCCTCCGTGACATCCTCCGTTGCTCCTGTCCCGGCCTCCTCACCCGGTTGAAATTGAGGCCACAGGATTCCAGCGCAGTCTCGACGCGCTTCTTATCTGCTGAGAACATCTTCAGGATGCTGAGCAGGTGAGAGGGGTCAGGGTCAGTGGGGGCAAAGGTCACTAAGGTGGGGGCAGGAGAGAAGGTGCTGAGGCAAGGGGTACTCACTTCTTCACTGGGATCCGTCCATCCTGGTTCACCTGCAGCTTCAGCTTGGTGTATCTGGGGAGGCAGGCAGAAGGGTCACG